GAAGGCCCTCAATAAAATAGATTGTTCTTGAAAAAAATAAAAAATAAAAAATGGTGTGCTCAAGTCTGCCAGACTTTGGACCAAGTACTGGGTTTGCCTCTTCCTGGCTGTGTGAGCTTTCAAACTCACTTGCCATCTCCGAGCCTTTGTTTCTGAGCCAAGAGTGGAAATGCCAGGTTATTGGGTATTTGAATGTTCAATGTAAAATTTTCCAAAGTAATTGTGCCGATTTATATGCCCACCAGTAGTGTAGGAAAGAGCCATTGTTTCCTTATTTTTGCTATTTGAATAGGGACAAAATAGCATCTCAGTGTGGTTTTATTTGGCTTTTGCTAATTACTAATGAGATTGGATGTCTCTTCATTTCTTTTTTGGCCATAATTGTTTTTCTTTAATCCCGTTTTAATGATGGGGCTGTAAAGGTTTTGTGGCAGAGCTTGGGTATCCACAATGGAGTTTCCTAGGAGCCAGGAAGGGTCCTTTCAGAATTGCAGGTACCTGTTTCATCTGGGAGGGAACCTGTCCTGTCTCTGCTGGATTTCCTGTTCTGGGTCAGAATGGCCACAGAAGCTTCTTTCCCGGGGAGGGCATGAGGGCCCACCTTTCACTGCTGCCCTTCCCATCCAGGTTTTTACCTCCTCTGGGGGCTGCCGGCAACAGGAAGGGACAGCCAGCACTGAACATGTCTCAGAAGGCTGATGAGGCAGGAGAAGCTGGGGTAGCAGCTACAGGCATCATGGCAAGTGCCCCTCGTGGATTGGTGTCCTGAATAAGACAAGGGGGGACTTGGGTCCCTGATCAGCTGAGCGCAAACATTGTCCAACTGGCTCTAAGCTTCCCTGACCAGGCAAAGGAGCACTGGGTGCCACTTGAGGCACCTATGGAGGTGGTAAAACTGGCGGCACTTCCTCGGGGGGTTCCTGTAGAACAGGGGGCTGAGCTTCCTTCTGAGGGACCTGCTTCTGTTCTCCTGCCACTAAAACCTTACTCTGTCCCTTCTTACACACGCAGAGCCGGATCCAAGGAGACCTGTGTCGAGCTATTTCTAGCCATTGATCTATGCAAGAAAACTGATCAGGATGACCAGGGTCACCCGTGATGACCTCAGAGAGGGCCCTGACAGTTGGGACATCTAGGGTTCCCTCTGAGGGCCAACCCACACCATAGGCTGGCCATTCTAATTCACAGGATGTTCTTAACTTCCAGGGAATTAGTTTCACACTATAATCCCTGGCAAATTCTTTCTGTAAAACCCAATATTCTATAATATTATAACTAATAAATATTAGTTATAACTGTATTTGACAAA